CCTAATTTTGAGAACTACCCACATAGTGCAATAACGGCCTTCCGCCGGATCTTTGTGGCATCCCCAAGCCATATACTTCAAACGGTATAGGTCCTTTTTGGCTTAGGGTTTAGGAGCTGGGTTATTTGGGATATTGTTGCACCCTAAACCCTAAACCCNNCCTAAACCCTAAAACTTAAGATATGTTGGTGTCGGGCCAAGGGTTCTTATGAAGCTTAAGGGCCTTAAGGCTTTTTGGCAGCACAATCATTCCTGGGCTTAAGGATTTATATGAAGTTTAGGGTATCTTAACCCTAAACCCTAGCCTTTCTTATGGGGTCTACAGTTTAGGGTAACTTGATGTCAGGGTTTCGGGCTCAAGTCAAGGTCCCACACTCCCCGAAGCGAGGGCTTTTCTTGCCTGTTACCCTTGGGTTAAAGAAGTTTCATAGGGGTTGGTATAGGGTTTAGGGTGTTGTATGAGTCAACAAACAGTCTGATAACTTAACTTCTCTTGCTCAGAGCCTGGAGTTCTTGTATCAGGCTGGAATCGGGGGTTTAGACTCTCGCAGCTCGGACGATCCAGGCGAGGTTCATCGGTAGCAGTCGGCATGAAACTGAAGTACCCTCGAGAATTAGGCTAAAAAGGAACTCCGTTGGCTCCTATTCTAACTTTGAGCTCAAACATATAGGGTATTAGCAGGTTCACGCGGGGTCTTAGAGGCGCTGTTCTTAAGGAACAAGCCTTGCATCGTACTTTGGCTCTCGCCAGACATATTCCTAGGACTCCAAACACCAATACGAGAATCGGAACAACAAAAAGCAATGGATGCACAGCGTGCTAGTAGTAGAGCTCGTGCTGGTCGTCGCACTCCTCGCAGTAGTACGCGTGCGGTCGTCGTCGTTGGAGGAGCAGGAATACTAGCTCTGTCCGTTGTCGTGAACCTGAAATCAGGACAATCAGAATGACGAGAACATGCTGACGCCGCAAATTCTGACAACCCCCATAAGCCCTGAACCGTAGTATAGCGGCTCAGAGGCAGGAGGTCCCTCTGCCGACATGCTGACTCTGAGTTCCCCCACCCCCTCGTGAGCAGCGGGTGCGGCCTCGGGGTTTTAGGGTTCAGGTGGCTTTGCAAAACACTCGATTTGAACCTAGTTGTCCAGTTTGTCTGGGTATCCAAAGGTTAACTTTTGTGGGATTATATAGTACTTTTTAAGGATTACCTCTCTCTCTCTTTCGCTCCACCAAACAAAACCATAAGTTCAATGAATTATGCGGTCTAGTTGCCTTCGCAATGTTGAAACTGAAGCTTACATGCACGAGACACAAAAAGTCCGTTTCTCTTTAGGTACAAGTGGTCCTGACAAGTCATTATGGTATCTCTCACGGTGCTTGGACCCTTGGCGGGCCCTCAAGAACATGCCGCATACAGGTCCCGCGCCGGGTTGCAAGGAATCCATTGGCCTGACCCGAAGCAAGAAGGTGCTATAGGGTTTAGGGTTTTGGGAGCTAGG